TAGGGGCAGAAACTAAATAAATAAATAAAGATTTTAGTCTTATAGCAATTAGAGACAACACTAAGACCTTGCACCAACAGTCCTTCACCCAGAAGTAATTTTTCCTTTGGAAAGAATTCTAGCAAGGTTCGGTATCTTTACTGAAAGACAGGTGCACTGGCCACAAATACCAACCAGAAAAGTTCAGACAACCTAACAATGGGGAAAATGACAGAACACTCACTGTGGGATACAAAAAGGCCACTTCGTAATTCAATAGCTATTAACACATCGTCTGTTAAACAACATAGTGATTCTAAAATCAGTCTGATAAGAATCACCGCAGGCTTTTCTAAAACACAGAACTGGCCCAAAGCCTGCTGAACCTGAGTATTGCAGCAGGGAGTTGGCGATTTCAAGTCAGATTGAGGGAGTTTACAAAACATTGACATGGTAACTGTCCCCCAAAGAAACGTCTGCTCCTCCAGAAAAGTAGGTGGACCAGAGCTGTGACAGGGTAGGCTTTCTCCATAAATGTAGCTGTCTACACAGGGAAGCAGCTCCTTCTAGAGTCTCCTTAGCATCAAGCTGTGACCAACTGGGCTTGCCAGCCCAAACAACTACACAGGAAGGGGAAAAGCAGGAATCAAAAACTGACAGTCAACCCAAAGGGCTAAAATTGGAAAAGGCCACCAACTCAGGGCTTTAGCAGTCTCCCACAAAAGTAGCTATCTTCTGGTAGATCACTGAAGCAGAAGAACATGTTAAGAAAGAGAAATGAGAGAAGCAAATGAAAACAATTAAGCATTTGGAAAAAGAGGAAATAGAAAAGTCAGTAGGGCTTGTCTACTAAGTGGAGCTTCCCTTCTTTGTTGCAAGCCATGAGGGATATTAGGCTAATTAATGGAAAATCTGTTTCTCTATTGTGATTCACATGGTAGCTGAGGTTAGTAAAAACCCACGGAGTTATTAAAACACACACTTCATGAACATGACAACAATTGAGCAAAAAAAGAGAGAGAGAAAACCATCACTGCATTTGCTTGTTTGCTTCTCATTACCAAGAAAATCAGGAAGCAGGTAAAAGGACATATTTTGGACAATGAAAAATCTAGCAAATTGCCCTGTATGGTTGGATTAACTATGGTGAAAAGAGCACTGGTCTTCCATCTAGAACTAACACCAAGTTAAACTCACTTCAGCTATAGTCTTTGATCAAGCAAACAGCAATTCACTTAATGATAAATGGTCCAAGCTACTCCATCAAAATATCTGCCAAGGTGGACTCAAAAGATTCTCAGAGCTAGAAGTGGGTCAAAGACTCCAGTCCCTTCCACTAATTTACATAATTCATAAAGTGTGAGGCCTGGGGATGTTGGGAGAATTTCCACAAAGTTGCACAGCAACGTAACTGCAGAACAAACTGGAACTCATGTGGTTCACCTGCTCATTTTTGTGATGACTCCCAGAGCACTGAAGAGTTCAACAAAGTGCATGCATGCATGAGATAGACATATTCAACAAATGTGCCATTGCTCTCCATAGAAATCGATACACATCAGAAATAATTCCAGCCAACTAGTCATTGCACCATTGAAATCCATAGAAAACCGACATATCCACAACCTATCCACTAGATACTGACTCAAGTCTCGCATTCTCTTCAAGACATCCTATTGCCCTTCTCTCACTCCTAGAAAATAATAGTTTCATACAAATATCCAGTTACTCTTATTTATCCCTTATAGGGAACAAGGCCTAGAATTTTATCCCCCATTTAATTGCCAGCCACAAAATGTCCAAAAGTGTTCTTGGTTACCACCCAAAATTTCTGTCTCTGAGCCAAAGGAGTTGACCACCTTGATCCACCTGCTTTGCTACACATGGATAACTGGCCACTGAGGAGAGGGCAGGGATTTCTGCAATCTGAGCTGCACATACTCCTGATGAGTTCAGGTGCCAACTGCCATCATGTAAGGAAAGCACTTCGCTCAAATCAGGCAGCACGGGGATTGCAATGCACATCTGTGTTGCCCTTTCTGGAAACTTGGTTTCCTGGTCCATAAAGCAGACATCACTTCTTCCTAGGGTTATAGCGAAGAGAACATAAAGTAGTTTATCCTTGAGGCTAACAGAGCTTAACAAGACCATCAGTACTTCCCTTTTGTCTGGGAATCAAGTCTCTGCCCCTGCGTAGCCCCATTTATCAGAAACAATGCATAAAAAGCACGAGCTGATGCAAACCACTAGATTGCCATAAAAATAGACTCAGTTTCACAAAAAAGTATCCTGCAAAGATTCAATCATTGTATTTCAAAGCAATTCCTTCCCATAAATAGCTCTGCAGCAAGAGGCGGACTCCTTTTGAAGGTTGTGTGACACCAGCTTCTTTTGGCCTTCCAACAAGAATGGACTTTTTTTTCCCCTCTAGATTTGAACATTCCAAACAGGTATGTGAAACAGGTTAAACTTGTGCATTTCGACTTGCACAACAGTTACAGAGCACATCAGCTTTTATTTTAACCAGAGACTAGGAGATGGAGCTGGGTATATATTCCTAGGGGAGAGCAAATAGAAAACTGTCTCTCTTCTTAATATATTAGTGCTCTGTAATCCAGACCATATGATCAATAAACTATATAAAAATTAAATCATACTGACAGTCTTGGGCAAAACGTGTACTAAGTAGAAACGATTCTTTTTATGGCTGTGGTGTGTGGATTATTAAAATCACATGAGGTGCTATTATTTTTTCTTTTGGAAGCCAAGGAGTTCCTTCGCATAAATATCTCAAGATAGCTGTTTGTCTTACTAGCAGTCTTTCCCCATTAGAAGTGTCAGGAAGGCATTTTATGGGTGATATTCTAATTTGGCCCCTGCTCAGGGGAAACTTTGGTCAACAGGTGACTTTGAAAATGACTTTGTTGCCACAATTTTTATGGCAAGACACATAACCCCTGAAAACAGGTGGCTCAAAGCTCTGTAGGATACAATACATGGGCCTGAGGTGACTGCATTTTGAGCTGAACAAATCATTTGTTCAAACACAAGCCTGACCAGAAGGCAGGTTGAGAACATTCACTCAGGGAGGGGGGAGCGAAGAACTGCAGGCGCATCCTGCCCCTTACTCACATTTTGCATCCCAACAGAACCCGCTGGGCATTTGTGTGTCCCTGGCTACCCTAACAGCTCCCGGGGAAGTCCCTTTTGCAAGCTCTCACTTTCTTATTCTTTTGATAGGAATACACCATCTCTTGGGACTGCCTTCTGAAATCAGAAGAGTGAAGACTGGAGGACAAAGAAACTGTACAAAGGCTGTCAAGCATGTTCCGGCCCTGTTGTCCTAATAACAGGGTTGAGGGGTGGGAGGGTAGCAGGTTATCTAGCACAAGGAGCCTGCGTTTGCCCAAGCTTCACCTGGAAAGCCCGGGCCAGCTTGCAGCAAGCAGCTTCTCCAAGGGGAGTGTTTCCCCATATTCCCCTAGGATGAAAGACAGCCTTTTAGAAATTCAATAGCTTGGTTACAAGACTTTAAATGCTAATCTGTCCCATTGTGTATGACAGTAAGCCAGTGGCCTTCAGGAGGCCCCCCAGTGACAATTCCTCTACAAAGCATCTTCAATGCCGAATTGCTAGCCTGAGAGGCTGGGATAGGATCTGCCACCTGCGCCATTGGGTCTGAGTCCTGGGCCACAGAGCACAGGATTCCCTTCAGCTGTCTCTCTTGGTGTTTAAGAACTCTGGTCACCCTGACTCTCTTCGGGGGGGCGGGGGGAATCGAGCTCAACGGACAGGAGAACACTGCACACCCAGGCCAGCACAGCAGAAAGGAGCTGTGAAGGCAGGACAACTCTCTGAGAAGTCATGGGTTTTGCAGGCCCTATAGGGATAAACCCATTTCAAAGGAGCCTCCAGTCTCTCTGCAGGAGTTTCTATTTTAAGGGAACCGAAATGGGAACACAGATGTTTCTTCAGTTAGTAGAGTTGGCAGAACAGCTCCTGGACCTAATCCGAGTTCTCCATGCAGGAAGGGGCCTTGGAGAGCATCTCTTGCAATCAACTCATTCAGATCAGTAGGAAACAGGCCAGGTAGGCAGCACACGGGTGAGCTGCAGGGCCGGGGGTTCTGATGACAAGTCCCCTGCGTTTACATGACACCACGGTTCATTCACAAATGAACCTAAATAACAATAGTAAAATGTCCTACACTGATGTCAATCTCGGAACTCCTGTGGATTCCTATCAAAACCTCTCTCATTTCCCCCCCACCCAAGTTCGTGAATCTTCCTCGACCTCCCACTCCCAATTCCTTTAACTCAACCCACTCCACCCCCTTCCCAGCTGCACTTCACAAATAGTTTGGAAAACAGAAGCAAATGACCGCCCCAACTTTCTGCCAGTGCAATTACACTGTGGCGCCTAAACAAGACCTCGGCGTACGCGTCGGTAAAATGGGCCTCCTCATCCTCCTCGCACCAAGTTGGGACAGGGCGGCGGCTAGTGAAAATGATCCTCGCGAAACTGCCCACCGCCTGGCATGCAGCAGGTACTGGGGAGGTGATTATCGAGACGGTACCCAGGGCCTTCGCAACTGGGGGGCGGGGGCGCCGCCGGGAGCGCATGGGGTGTGCTGGGGGGACAGGACAGGCCAGCCCGGGCGCCAGCGACAACCGATGTTTACTCGCAGCCGGGGCGGGCAGCGCGTCTCCAGGCAGGAGCCGGGCTGCTGGGGCGACCCATCTGACTCGGGCGGAGGGCCTGGCTGCACGCGGGCTCTCCGCCACGGAGCAGCCAGCTTTACGCTGGATATGGCTCGCGGGGAGCTCACCCAGTCACTAATTCACAGGCCGGGAAATCGGTGGGCTCAAGGACGGCCGGAGCCCTGCGGCCGTAGCCGCGCGCAAGCTCCAGGGGCGGCTGCGGGGCCCCCCCCGGGAACTGACAGCGCGGCGCGGGCCGGGGCGCAGTCCAGGCCGGAGCGCCGGGAACCATGGGGCCGGGCACCAGGGGAGCAGGCTTACCCATGAAGAGGCAGAAGAGGTCCAGGCAGACGAGCAGCGCCCGCTTGCTGCCGCTCTTGCGCGGGTCGCTGCCGAGCGCAGGGGTGCCGCCGTTCTTGCTCTCCGGCACGATCGCCTTGTCGTACTTGTAGTTTTGCATGGCGCTGGCTGCGGAGCGAGCCTCCGATCCCGCGAAGACGTCCCGCGACAGCAGCCGCACACCCGGGCGCGGGTCGCCTCCCGGCCGAAGGGTAGCGGCTGGGCCCTGGCTCGCGGCGCGGCGGTGGATGCAGCCCCGGCTGCCTGCGTGCGGCTGCGGACCGGGTCTGTGCTCCTCCGGGCGCCTCTGCCGAACTCTCTCTCCAAAGCCTTCAGAAGTCCACGGGGAGGAGAGCGCGAGCCCGAGCCACAAACTTGTGCAGAGTTGTGTTCGCGGGGCGCGAGTGGAGCACCGCTGGGTTCGGCCCCTTCCCTGCAGCTGGGGACTTATGAATGGGAGCCGCGCAGGGCAGCTCCGAGCGCCTGCCCCAAGTCCTGCCCGGCCGCCGCCTCCTGTTGCTTTGCTGCTGCTGCTGCTGCTGCCGCCGCGGCGACTGTTTCTGTGGTCGCTCGGGTTTGTTTTCTGCACTTTTATTTCACGAGAGCCTTTAAAAAGAGAGAGGGAGAGAGAGCGCACCAGGGACCTCCTTACTTGGCTCCGAAGGGATTGAGAAAGCACAGCCCCTTCCTTAAGCTGCCTAAGACGTAGGATAATTAAGGCCACATTTGCCCCCACCCCCTTCCAAAAAAAAAAAAAAATCCTAAAAGGAAAAGTTACTCTCGAAGCAGAGAATCCGGGAGCCCCTAGCGTTCAGAAACGCCAATTTGTTACAAAAAGAGAAACAAAAAGAAAAAAAGAAAAGAAACTCTTGTTGGCCTTGGGTCAGCACAACGTTAAAGGCTCAACAACTACAATGCCTTTCTCCTCCCTCACAGAGCTGGGGCTTCCAATTATTTATTTTGGCTTGAGTTGTATTATCTGGAAAAAAAAAATTTCAAGAAAAAAAGATATATATTTTTTTAATCCTAACACCCAGCATCAAACACCAAGCTGGCTTTGAGCATGACGAGATGAAAAGAACTACTGGTCTCTGAAGCCAGTTTGAATCCTTGTGCCTCAGTTTCCCCTTATGCAAACAGAGTTGATCGTTGTCCTGAACGGAATAATTGTGGGGGTTCCCTAGTCGACCCATGCATGCTCCTGCCCAACACAGTGCCCCACGATGAGAAGGACTAAGGGGGAGTCACTGTCTTTATTTCTGAATTTGGGGGAGAAGGATCCCCAAGCCCTCAGATCCCTATGCCTCCTCCCCGACCTCAAGTACTCCTGGGGGTCAGCAGGGGCGCCCCCTGGAACAATCTGAACACCCTTCCTTGGCGCTGTTCTCCAAGGAGCCCCAGTCTTTTCTTCCATCTAAAGAATAAACGCATTCTGAGCAGAGGACTTGCACTGTGCAGTGTCTGACAAGGAACGGGACGCATTTCTGCCCCATGACACGCCTCTCTGTGTGTATGTGGCAACACAGAGTTGTGGCTGTTCCATGCAGAAACTTGGTCTGGGGTTCGGCAAACCTACCCGCGGCCACCCAGCAATCCCTCCCCCATTTTGCAGAATTCCTTCCCTCTTGGCACACTGGTTCTCCTATGCTCCCTGCCTGTAACAGGCACTTTGTTCAGAGCACTCTTACAGCTCCCCCACCTCCTCCCCATCTGGTTCAGGGGGAGTTAGGCACTTTAATCAACTGTATGCATTGAGCTCCATCGCATCTGCCCAGGGTTTGGTGTCTGCTAAGTGACGCTTAAACTGGGTCTGGTTAGCAAGAAGGGATTGGCTTGGCATAGAAGAGGCAAAACTGATGTTTCTGGAAGCAAGAGGAACCCAACCTCCCAGGCGGGTCTAGAGCTGAAGCACCCAGCCATCAATCACACCTAGTACCCTCAACTCCTTAAATAGCAGCAGGGAAAAGCCAGGAGGCCAAGCAAAAGATCTTTCAAGAAGCTTTTCAGCTAGAAATGCCCAATCTCTTTCTCTCTCCCCCTCTCTTTCACTCTAAAACATTTATGTATTTGTTTCAAAGATGGAGCCAGAGAGAGAGAGAGAGAGAGAGTGACAGAATATCTTCCACCTGCTGTTTCACTCCCCAGTGCCCTGCACGGCCAGGTCTGAGCCTGACTGAAACCAGAGCCAGTAGCTGGACTCCAACCTGCGCTCCTGTGGGATGGCAGCACCACAGGTGGTGACCTAATCCAGTGGGCCACAAGGCAGGCCCCCACCTTTTCTCTCGAAACATTAAAAAGTAGCAGAGCAATCTAAGGGCAGTTTCTTAATCAATGGCATTCTAAAGGAATTCGGGAGTTTCAGGATCTTTCGCTTACTCATCCAACCCTCTTCATGATTAGAAGTATCTTTGGAATTCTTGCTTTTGTTGTGCACATTTTTGTTTATTTATTTTTGTTTCATCTGAAAGGCAGAGACATACAGAAAGAGCTTGTATCTGTTGGTGCACTCCCCTGAGTCCTTCCACAGTCAAGGGCGGGTGGCAGCCCAGAACCCTAGTCTGGAATCAAAGCAGGCAATCCAACATGGGATGCTGGTGTCCCAAGTGGTGACAGGTGCCACCATGCTGCCCTCAGCGCCTGCTCCCCCAGACACGTACACCTTGTTATTTCAATCTACAAGTAACTGGAAGCTCTCTTGGAGCTGTTTCCCTCTCAGATCTTCCCCTCCTCGGAGCTCTAATAACCCATCAGCAGCTGAGCCACTTACCCTCAGCTGTTTACCCGCCTCTTGTTACTTCACACGTGGGCCTTGAACGTGAAGGAGTGTGTCAAGAAATAACCAGGAATACAAAGCTGAGGAACCACAATGACCCGGTGAATGTCGGAGTCTTCTGTTGCTTTCTGCTCCCTGGCTCCTTTGCCTTGCCTGTGAAAATATTCTTAATAATTTAAGAATAAACATGGTTTTCAAGACCAGACCAATACTACAGACAAATAGTATCACCACTCAGCCATCATGGGTGCTGTCTTTCAGAGGTTAATGCATAAGATGGTGAATATTAACCAGTTTTCCGCTGATGAAGAAACACCTATTTTGCTTTTAGGTTCTTTGGATTAAGATTAACTGCCTGTTGAGAAGGATGAAGATCTGTTTCCAAAAAGCAGATAAAAGGGGAAATAAATAGATGTGTAAATCCGTTTTATATTTCTATTTGTAAGACTCTTCGGGTTATTATTATTATTATTATTTTTTGTAACTTAAAGACCCTCGTGTTAACTGACGCAAGCTCCACTATCAGGAAGAACATTTTGATAGCTCTCCAAGGGAAGAGAGTAAGAGAAAAACTCATCACAAAGGACATGAGCAAGTCGTAAAACAGAATGTCAATATCATTCCTTAGATAATAGGAAAGGAAACAATCTAACCACAGGCGTACAGGCGCAGGCCTCTTGGCTTTAAACCCTGAAGTTGAACTATCTTACCGGCAAATAAAATTCACCAGAATAGACTTTCTAGTTTACAATGGTGTCATTTCAAAAATAACTAAGTAATTAAAATTCCTAGTGAACATAGCTTACAATAATTCACGCATTAAAATGACATCCAGTTCCCTAAACTAGTCTGTGTAAAAACATCAGTGCGGATAAATGCCTTTTAAGATGAACTTATCATGTGTGGCAACAACAGCACATCATTCTTAAATAACTGATACCTCCCAAGAGACTAAAATGGCCTTCATTTCTAAGATCTCTTGTTACCTCGTAATTTTCTTTCTCTCTCTTTTTAACCCCTGACATTGAAGAATTAATCATTTTTATTTTTTGAAAGGGCATGAATTGGCTCTGGAACTATTTAAGAGACAAGTAGCTGCGTTCCCTTAAATGAAATGCTTTAGTCAAAGGTCAGAGCCCACATTTCTTAGAATGTTGAAATTAAATGAGGGGACCACAAAGGGCTTGGCACAGCAGCAGTGCCAGGGGGTCAGATTCTCTACCTGGATGCCCCTGCCTGATGCTGGGAGGACAGCAGTGGACGCCCAGCTTGTCTCTAGGGACTGAAGGGAGGTGTCTACAGTGACACACCTAGGTGAGGCCAGAAGGAGCAAGGCCCTAGGGCCACAGCACCTCCGATGTGTTGGTTGACAGGGTACAAGCTGAGTAATTTCTCAGGAGCCTCAGTGACTTTCAAATGCAGTTGACATTTTTCATTGGTTCTTGGAAGGACTAAAAAAATGTATACAGTACCAATCATTTTGAAAATATGCGGTGCTCAATAGACAGCTAAGAAGTGGTGGTTGACCGTTACCATCTGAAGTCAACGCTTGCTTTCCACAAAATAGTTCGGTTTAACATAGGAATCCTAAAAGTGTTCGCAACGTACCAGCTTGGCCTGGGAAAGTCAGTGTCGTGTTCTCACTCTCTTCGCCTCCCACCTTTTCAGCTCCTGTCTTCACACATTCAACCGCTGAAGCTTTCTGCAGCCAGGAAGTCAACGATGCTTGTTTTGTTTTTCAAGACAATTTAGTTACATATTGTTTTCTTTAGGATCAAGAAGCCATTTGCATAACCTAGTAATTGTGTGCCCATGAGAGCACTTTCACTGTAGAAGTGCTTTCACATCTATTATCCTAGTTTTTCCCTCACTGAAGTAGGTGGGGTTGCTACCATTACTCCCATTTCACAGATGAGAAAACTGAGGCAAGCCCACTTAACTGCACAGAACTGGTTTTCCCCACAGGTGAAATGCAGATCATTCTAACATTAGCTCATGTAGCATTAAATTTATAGCACTTTCCAGTTTATAATAGTTTCTCTTTATAGTTTGTGATGCCATTTTGTTTGCTTAAACATTTGTTTATTTGAAAGGTAGAGTTACAGAAAAAGACAGCGAGCAACCTCCCGTCTTCCGGTTCACTCCCCAGGTAGCCCCACCGGCTTTGGTTGGGCTAGGCTGGCATCACGAGATGGGAGCTTCACCAGGTCTCGCACACGGGTGCAGGGGACCAGAGTTCAGCCATCTTCCCTGCTTTCCCCTGCCGTCTGCGGGGAGCTGGATCAGAAGTGGAGTAGACAGACTTGAATCAGTGTCCTTTGAGTTTCTGGCACTGCAGACAGTGGCTTAACGCACTTAGCCTGCAACTCTGACCCTTTAGTGCTGCTTCAGTACTCTGATCTCATTGCCAAGCAGGTAAGACAGATATTTTGTTCACTGTTTTAGAAATAAGCTAGATATTGGAAAGGTTGACAAGTGTACTTAGCCTGCAGGTGTGGAGCCTCCTAAAGCACTACCAGAACCAGATCTCTTCATTCCTGAATCCAGACTGTTCTTTTAACACTGCGGAATGTCGCCCGCCAACGTGCTCCAAAACTCTTGCTTCTCTCCAGTAACTTCAGAGTAACTGGGAGGGACGCAAACACAAAATCGTTTTGCTCAGGTGTTCCTTACTGGGTTGGAAGGCAACAGTATTGTCGTGCCTGACATGTCTGAAACAAGATTTAGGTCATCATTTGTCAAGACAACTTTTGTTACAA